CACACATATATACCCACATACACAAACGCACACTCACACACACAGACAGACACACACACGCAGCAATATATAAACACACTTTAATGGTGTGGGCTTTATGTTGATTTATTTTTATCCGTTTTTATTTTTTTTATATATTCGTTCTCTCGTTGATGCGTTTCAGTTTTTACTTTCGGTTTTATTTTCTTGTGGCATTTAATACCTTTCTGCAGTACTGCTTTTGGGTTCTTCCTTGTTTTATTCGTTACACATACACACACACACACTCACACACACACACACACACACACACACACACACAAATAGAATAAAATCTAACTTTGTTGTGTCGGTCTTTATCTGATCCGTAAATGTTTCATCTTTTATCTTTTACATATGTGAGAGCTGATTGGTTGAGGGTGGTCCTCTCTTTCTCACTTTTTCTCTCTCTGAAAATGCTCTGAAGAAACCGAGACATAAATAAATACATGTGAAAAACAACTGTTTTGAAAGATTAAGGTGAAGAGATCCTTTATTCCCCTCAGAACAGTGGACGCATTTTGGTTCTATCTATCACATTCTGACATTATCTACAAATTATTGCACAGACGCATGTGGTTGGTAGTGTAGTCGTCATTGTTTGCTGTACATTTCTTGAGTGCTTTCAATAGTTACAATAATCTCTAATAACTCTAAACGCTCGCTATTCAGTAATGTTCAAACCTGTTTTTGTCTTGTCTCCATGTTCCCAGTGGAAGACTTTGAACTGTTAGGTCCGTGGCTTCAACAAATAAAAGTGTAATCAAGATTGCTGTTATATTACTGTGAAAGCCGACATTTGGCTAAAGTACATGTGATTGCACTTATATTAATTGCACAACGGGAATTGTGGTCATGCCACAAGTAAAGAATCAATGAAACACATGCAGCGGGGGACTTTATATTCATTACTGAGAAAAATGCCTTCATGCGTCAAAGTTCATACATTTAGTATAGTATTCTATGCACGCCTCTTTCCTGTGCTCTTAAATGTAGTAGAAACTGTCCAGTTGATCCAAACGCACTGATTTGCCTCCAATCAAATTCAATTGGACTATATGCAAGACATCCGGCTTTCACTAGCGCTTTGTAAATGTATTCCGGAGATGGTAGCAAACTTGTGAAATGGAAGGAACTCAGAAGATTTCAGATTACTCCAAACCCGTCCACAAGATGGCGGCGTGCAGCAGGACCAAACTCGTGAACTATTATCGCTCAACTCTTTCAACCAGCGGAAGTCCTGGCTCCTGGGCTCAAGAAGGCCCAGCAGAGGATGTACTTCCTGCGGCAGCTCAGGAAAGCCAAGCTGCCTGCACAGATGTTGGTGCAGTTCTACACGGCCATCATCGAGTCCATCCTCACCTCCTCCGTCACCGTGTGGTTCGCTGGAGCCACAGTCAGGGACAAACAGAGACTACAGTGCATCATGTGCTCTGCAGAGAAGGTGATCGGCCCCAGCCTTCCATCGCTGCAGGACCTGTACGTCGCCCGAGCTCGAGGCCGGGCTGGTTGTATCACAGCCGACCCCTCTCACCCTGCACATGGACTATTCCAACCACTCCCCTCAGGCAGGAGGCTGCGGTCCATCAGGACTAGAACCTCCCGCCACAAGAACAGTTTCTTCCCCTCTGCTGTTGGACTCTTGAACACTTCTTAACCTGTCCCCCCGCCCTTTATAAACTCACTTTACTGCCCATCATACGTCACTTTACTTCACTGTACTGCTGCCACCTTACATTGTGTGCACCATGTGCACTTGTATATTGTAAATAGTAACTGTAACTTTTAAATTAAAATGTATTCCTTAGAAGTGTTTTTTATTCTTTATTTTTATTCTTTATTTTTATTATCTCTTTTTGACTGTTGCACTGAGCCAAAGTAATTTCCAAGTCTGTGACTTCCTGTTACTTACGTGGCAATAAAAATAATTCTGATTCTGATTCTGATTCTGGAAAATTTGACTTGCCAACATGGCTGACCAGTGACAAGGAGCGCAAGGGTATTAATGCAATGGACATGTGCAATAGAGGGTTGTGTGCAATAGGGGGTTGTGTGTAGGTGTTTTGCATGGCGCCCTAAAGATGGCGCCATGGCAAGAGCTCTGGTGTGTGCCGTCTTCTCTGTCTGGTACACAGTCTTGCACAGTGTTTCCTATGTGGTTTTACTGCAAATGGCAAATAAAATGAATCTGAATCTGAATCAATAGTGGGTTCTGTGAACTAGATTATGTGCAATAGTGGGTTGTGTGTAATAGATGTGGTATGTGCAACAGCTTCTGTTTTGGAAAATGAATCGCCCTACGCTGGGACACTGTATGAATTCCTGTCGTTGATGTTTTTAACTGCTGTATTTGTTTTGTGACCCGTGACTCCGCCCCCTGGCACTACAGATGAAAATTTGCCTCTAGCTCCAATCTGACGTGTGGACAAATATGCCCAACCAGATATGTTCATTGACATGTACTGTCCCAGTCAAATAAATAAATAAAATGAAAAAACATTGGGCAAAGGCAATGGGAGTAAATAGTTGTTCTGAATGTGTATTCCCTGTGTTATTCCCAGTGTTATTCCCAGTGTTATTCCCAGTGTTATTCTCAGTTGGCAAGAGCGAGTTCTATTTTGAAGGCTGGCACACTGTTGATGAGGTTCTCAGACCTGTTGTCCTCTCAGGAAGGGGGAGGTCAGCTGGCTCCTACAGCACAGTGAGTCCTGGACCTGCTGTAGTCCTGGACTGCTGTAGCCCGGGACCTGCTGTAGCCCTGGACCTGCTGTAGCCCTGGACCCGCTGTAGTCCTGGACTGCTGTAGCCCTGGACCCGCTGTAGTCCTGGACTGCTGTAGTCCTGGACCCGCTGTAGTCCTGGACTGCTGTAGTCCTGGATCTGCTATAGTCCTGAACCCGCTGTAGTCCTGGTCCTGCAGGCATCTCTCCTGCTGTGGTCCAAAAAGTATCATCTGTAACCCCAGCCATGCACTTGCCGAGAACCTAATTCACTTGGACCGTTCAGGATTGATCGGTCCAAGTGAGTTGTTGTGGAAAATACTGTTTGTTAAGTGCAAACTGAGTTTGAATGAAGAGGCATGAAGCTGTAGGATGGAGGAGAAGCATCAGTGCCATGAATGGACACCACTCAATTCAAGTAATTATTACCTCATATTTTATAATTGTTTGCAGTGCAGGTATTTCTTACAGTTTTGAATCTCATCACTGGCCGGAAGATTGATTTTTTTCATTTGTAGAGTTGATGCTTGGATGACTCTGCAGAGCTTAATGAGAGTTCTCAGTTCATATTTGCATCTCTGTACAAGTCTCAGGCGACTCGAGATCTCCTCCATGTCTCCCTCTCGGCTACAGAGTAAAAGCATGTCATGTCAAATCATAACCAAACTTCACTTCATAAAATATCAACCACAATAATTTTAATTATTTTTTATTTATTTATTTATTTGAATTTAGGACAGTACATATTCATCAATGTGACTGCAAACAGTGGGCGACAGTAGCTCAGTTGGTAGAGCATTGGCCTTAAGGCCAGAAGGTCGTGGGTTCATTTCCCACCTCTGCACCTTCCCCACCGACTCCCACTGATGACTGCTGTCGTTGTGTCATTGGGCAAGACACTTAACCCCACTTTGCCCAAAGCCCCAACTGAAAGATCAAGGCTATGCTCACACTCAGAGAGCAGCCGTCCTCCTGTGGACTCACCACCTGCAGAGGGTCAGTGAGGGACTGGTGCTATGAGACTTGGGTGGCATCTCTGATTGCCACCCCCCTGACCCAGAAATGGATTAAAGGGTAGAAAATGGATGGATGGGTGACTGCAAACAGCGTCAACATAGATATGCTGGAATTAGCACAATAGCTAAATTGCATCCATTGTCCTAAGGCAGGTATGAAACACACAAACACACAGCTAGTAAAAGTACAAACAATAAGTCAACAAGCAAGACATAAAGAATTTAAAAGAGGAGTGAAAGAGAAAGAGAAAGTCCAAGGAAGAGCAGATTATCTATGGGAGCATGACTGGTTTGATTTCAACCAATGTTTGAGGACTCCTTTAAATATGGCATAATTTTTCAAAACACCAGTAACATAAGTCTACAAATCATAATTGCAGTTGAAATCTTTCAGTTGAAAGAAAAATAAATAAACCAAACCTTTCCTCAGGTCTCTGATTGTAAGTGGTCCACCGTTCTGCACAAAATGTGTTTCTTTTTACTTTGAAAGCGCACATCAATCCATTAGAAACCTATTTTTACATCCCATGCATCGACAATTGACCGGTTTTTGAAAGAGGATGTTCAAGTGCACTTTGCGGTTCATGAAAAGGTTAAAACATACGATTGTGAGTCTTCTGACGGAGCCCCACAAGGACACTAAAGAGGTCACTAACGGGATCACTCTCTTGCTCTTTCGCTCTCTTGCTCATTCTTTTGCTCTCGCTCTTTTGCTCGCACTTTCTCTCTTCGTCTCTCTCTCTCTCTCGCTCTTTTTTTCTTGGCCCCATTCTTTTGCTCTCTCTCTCTCTTTCGCTCTCTCTCGCGCACTCTTTCGCTCTCCTATCCTCTCTCCGCTCTCTCCCTCACTCTCTCGGCCTCTCTCCCTCCCTTGCTCTCTCTTTCTATCTCTCCACATATCTGGCAGGATGATGAGCAGACAAAGTCACTATGAGTGGATGTTCTGAAATTGCAGTATTGCACATGATTTGCAGTATTTACTATTTCCAGATGTAGAGGTACAAGTAGAGGCTCAGTAGTTCTCATTGTACAGTCTGACAGCAGCAGGAAGGGTAGACCTACAGAATCCTTAACACAGCGAGGAGACACAGTAAATAAGTCATGGTATAGCTCCAGGTTTGGTTATGACCTATTATGGAATTTCTGCCACATAGGGAAATAAGCACTAAAAGGAGTTGTGTGAATCTGGATGCAGCCCCGGTCTCCTCTCTGCCTCAGTGCATCATCTGTTCGCTGTGATGTTGTGATGCGGCATGACAGCCTCCTGATCCTGCTGTTTGTAACGTGTGTCCGGTGGCACAAAACACGCTGCGATGAGTCAAGAGTGAGTAGAGGTGAGTGGACCACAGCGGGAGAAAGGTATAAATGCAGAGACCACAGCGGGCCCAAGACTACAGCAGGTGCAGGGCTCACTACAGCAGGTCCCGGGCTACCTACAGCAGGTCCAGGACTACAGCCTGAGAGAGGGCAGAGGCAGAGACCACAGCAGGTCCAGGACTCACTACAGCAGGTCCAGGACTACAGCCTGAGAGAGGGCAGAGGCAGAGACCACAGCAGGTCCAGGACTCACTACAGCAGGTCCAGGACTACAGCCTGAGAGAGGGCAGAGGCAGAGACCACAGCAGGTCCAGGACTCACTACAGCAGGTCCAGGACTACAGCCTGAGAGAGGGCAGAGGCAGAGACCACAGCAGGTCCAGGACTCACTACAGCAGGTCCAGGACTACAGCCTGAGAGAGGGCAGAGGCAGAGACCACAGCAGGTCCAGGACTCATCAGGTCCAGGACTCACTACAGCAGGTCCAGGAGTCACTATGCCAGAGGAGCCGGCTGACCTCGCCCTCCCTGAGAGGACAACAGGTCTGAGAGCCTCTGCAACAATATGCCAGCCTCCAAAACAGAACTCTCTCCTACCCACTGGGAAAAACACTGGGAATAACACTGCCAACGTCGTCAAAACAGAACTGGTTCCAGAACTGCTCTGATGTGGTTCCTATAGTTGGATTTAACTCAGATATTATTTGGTCCCTCTCAAAATCAGTGTACAATTTACTCTTTTGTCATTGTCAGTGATATTTGTGTTTCACAACAAGTAGGTCCTGGGTTTGATTCCACCTCCAGGACTTTCTGTGTGGAGTTTGCTTGTTCTCCCCATGTCTGCGTAGGTTTCCTCTGGTTGCTCAGGTTTCCCCTACCACTAAAAACATGTACATTGTAATGAGTGAGTGAATGTATGGTGTTGGTTGGGGGCATCACTGTGTGTGGAGAGAATGGAAACAAATCTGAACTCGACGTGGGGGCGACAGTGGCTCAGTTGGTAGAGCATGGCCTTTGAGCCTGAAGGTCGTGGGTTCGAGCCCACCACAAGTCTTTCTCTACCGATTCCCCCTGATGTCTGCTGTCATTGTGTCCTTGGCTAGACACTTAACCCTCATTGCCTAGAATGAGTCTGGCGTGTGTGAATGGTTGGTGGTGGTGGTCGGAGGCACCACTGATGGCACGTACTGGTTGCCTCGCTTCTGTCAGTGTGCCCTAGGGCAGCTGAGGCTAGTAGTAGTAGTTTTATCAGTGAATGAATAATGACACGTGAAGCGTCTTTGAGTGTCCAAAAAAGTACTATAAAAAACTGATGCATCATTATTATTATTATTAACTTTGAATATTTTAAAGTGCTTGGTCTTGGTCTGTAAAATGTGCTATAAAAACAAACATTACTTACTTAGAAAAACAATTCAGACTACAAGATCTTGTCCTTATCTTATTTGAAAGCATATTGCAGTTTACATACTTTCCCTACTTGGAAAGTTTGAAAGGCAAGGCAAGTTTATTTGTATGGCATATAGCACATTCATTCACAAGGCAACTCAAAGTGCTTAACAATCATGATAGAAGATGAAGATTAAGAGATGGATCCTGTATTCGCCTCATGTAACTTTAAAAAAACAATTACACAAGGCATTAAAATCCTAAATAATCAGCATACATTAAAAAATAGTAAAGATACAATCCCTCACTTGTATGCACAGCTAAACAAAACTTTCTTTAACCTGGATTTGAACATTGTCAAAGGAGAAACCTGTCTCACATTTTCAGGATTTCCAAATTTTAGCTGCATACAGTACATCGGGAATGCTGCCTCCCCATGTTTAGTCCTGGCTCTGGGCATCAGCAGGAGGCCAGTCCCTGTGCTCTTCAGAGTTGGAGTTCATTCACATGGCGATAAAATTAGGTGGTCTTAGTATAAAAAACATGTCATTTAGCTGTCACATCCTAAACTATTGGTGGTAATTGAACTTGTATCACACAGAAAGGGTTACGGAAGTTTAATTTATCCTACAACAGCTGGAAATGAAGCTTCTCCATTTTCAGAGACAGATTTACTTTGTGGGAAAGTTACTGTTTTAATCTGGAAGGTTCTGTTGCACAGTGTTCCTGTTGCCTCTAGGAACGCAGCCGGCTCCACTGATCAATATGCTCTGAGGTCTGAATTCAGTTACTTTTTCACTCAATATAGAACAAAGGATTGATTTATACTTTGTACCTAAAACTATTTTGTTCTATTATTTTTTGTACACACATGTTCCATCCATCTCGTTTCTTTATCCACTGATTTCTATTAAAACTGCACTCGGAGCGGAGGCTGTATCATTTCTGCATACTCCAGCTGCATGCGACTGACACATGGCTGAAAAAACGCATTCATTCAAAATTCCACAGCATATAAATGAGGCTGGTCCTACAGAAAAAATCCCCTCAGCATTATTATATTAAAAAATGACGTGTTCAAAATCCCTTATAAAGATGACCATGATTCAGAAAGTTAAATTCAAAAAGGTTTATTTCCCTAATACAAAAAGAATCTAACACAACGACCTGGACCAACTTTAACTATCCCTTATTCCCTATATAAAGTATAAAGTATGATTTTGGTGGGCGCTCCACGCAAACTCACACTGCTGTCCCTGATCCAGTCTAAAAAACTCTAACTCACACATTCAAGCTATTTCCTTAAGTAAAATGTGCAGGAAGAAGGGGCGTGGTATCAGCCAGCTTCCGGGGTCCCGTGGTCCGCCTCCCTCCATCTGTCTTCTCCCGTCTGCATCTGAAAAAGAATCCATTGCCTCTCTAGCCTAACGTCTCTGGTCCAGCTGTCTCTTAGTCTGAGATCCATCTCTGTGGTCTAAACAAGTGGTAGACTAGCAGGCTCCAGTGTCATCCCACTCCTGATGGAGTGGGTTTAATAATGCAACAGTCAGCCAAAATCCAAACAGAAGAACCCATCTGTCATTTAGCAGGTCCAAGAAGACCCCTAAAATTAACTTAAAAGGACTGGCCTGCCACTCAGAGGTCGATAGACATTCTAAAACACATGGTTTTAGAATGTCTCTTAGTTATAAATACAACATTCCCTCTTTTGGCCGCTATTAGAAAGGCCACACATCTCAATAACCTTCCTCAGGCGACGGGACGGGGGAATCCTCAACCAATGCAAGCATTTGACCTCTCAGTCCAGGGTTAACAGCGGTGTCTATAGCTTTAACACAAAGAGAACGTATACAAGGTATACAGCAACATCCTACAACCATTATTATTGCAAAGATGGCCGCAAGGCTTGTGATAACAGACAAAATTACATGCTTCCACTTCCCCAAGATGCTGTCCAGCCACGCCTCCAGTGGGTTCTCCGGGACTCCAGAAACGTCATGCATTTGCTCTGACAGCATTTTGAGACCAGCCAGAGCTTTGGAAACTGATCCATCTGGATGTGTGTTATTTGGAAGTATACACAACATTCTGTACCAAATAGACTGCAGACCCCACCTTTCTCTGCTAAGAGCATGTCTAGAGCCACTCTGTTTTGAAATGCTACCAGAGAGGTGGCCCCCAGCTGCTCCGCCAATCCCTCTATTGCGTCCCTGGTGTGATTGGCAAGCCTAAGCATAGTATACCAAATGAAATTAATTCTATCTACATTTTTGTTTGGCGTGATAGGGAAAATAGCGGAAATTATGGGAATATTTTCGAAACCTGTTGCAATTTGATCTACCAGTTTGAATTCCTGAGGGACTCCACGTGGAACACCTATAGAGTCCATGTAAGTTGGATTATCTTTCCCAGTATCTAGGAATGGTATTGCTCTTTTAAATCTATGCAGTGGGTGGGGACTGTCTAGGGATGGCTTATGGCCAATTATGGAAATGGGCATCATTAATCGCACCATTGCACAACTGCCTGTAAAATTTTTTATTAGTCTATGTCTAAGTTTTAAATCTCCACACAACCAATACAAATCACCTCTGGTCCGGGTCATGGGGACCGGACTGGGCAAGGTCACGTTGTTGACACACCAGTCTGCTGGAAGGAACCCCCACTGGAGACGCGGCCTCGTCCCTCCATTGAGTGAGTGGAAACAGGTGTAATTGCTTTTCCTGTGGGAAAACATAGGGGGCTGAATTTCTGAATCCAATTCTGGAAACAATACTTCAAACATTGAACAGTTGCTAGGGACTGTCTTTGTCTCCTCAGTCAGGTCCTTTTCTTGCCAAAACAACTTTATCATACAATTATAACCATCTACATCTTCTGGGAAAAGTGGAGCAGGGGCTGTATACAAAGTGGGACGTGCAGTGGAGCACACAACACAATCGTCAAAGCCAGCAGCCGCTGACATGTGTTCCACGGTCCACAACCAAGCGTTTCTATCCCCATATCCAGTTGCTTGTTTTAACAATTCAGAAACAGTCCAGTCAGCAGTCACCTGTACGTTTTGTTTGTCTTGCCATACTTCACTATCTATGGCCTCCTTGTCTAGCTCCTTGTCCTCGGGTAGGGCAATTGAAATCCATTGTCTAATGTCTCCTGGATAATGTCCAATAACGTAAGTCCCATTCACATCAATCCCACAATTTTTCACAGTGACTAGCACCGTTGTTTGTGAGTGGTCTGTAGTCAGAATCACTCGTCCCTTCAATCTGTGTTCATTATTATAACCCCAATCAGGACCTGTATTGGATATAACATACTCCCAAGCATCACAGGTGCAGTCCACCGATGCTCTAAAGCTTTTTCCATGTCTCTCATATTTACATGTTGACGGTGTGTAACACAGGTAGAGTGTGTAGTCAGGTCGAAAGGATAAGGGAAAGATTGTTGCCATTGGTATGTGGGCTGTAATTGTCGCACCCACCGGGCATTTTACTGTCACAACCGTAGGTAGAGAGTCTCTAACGCTGCCTTCTCCTATGGATCTTTTATTTCTGTCAGTCTTATTGGACCAAAGACTGGATTGTGTTACAAGTCTGGCCCTGTCTCTTAGCTGTGTGTTTTCTAACACTTCCCATGTTAAAATTCCCAGGACCACGACCAAACCAACTGCAGCGATAGCCCATAGGATGGCTCTCCCTCTTTTGGTCGTGGGCCAGGGCTCCCTGTCCCAAGGCAACATATTAAGAGCGAGTGTAAGCGTGTGTGAGTCACTGTCCAACCCGTGAGCGTGGTTACGAGGGTGGGTCAGATGGTCTCGTATGAGAGAGATGAAACCACTTGTTCCCTTGTCCCTTCAGTTGAACAGCTTTGCGAGTGCGGGCCACCACTTCAAA